GCGAACTACGACGCTCAATATATACAAAGGTATGACTGTCGTAAATCATACAATACCGTAAATAATACGTGGTGCAAAATCGGGAACAGAACCCTTCTCGTATTTTGCATTTTGTGAAAAGCGGGGGTACTGGTAAGGGATCCGAGTGATAGTGCTTCGCATTACAATCAACATCCTTCTGACATGTGGTTAACTTCTCCCGTTTTTCCTTCGAAATGTTGACGCTAGAATGTTCCAGTTCAATTTACCAATTACAGTCGAAACGGTTGTTCCAGGGTGTTTTTCTTGGCAGTGAATTCTGGTGCCTTGGGAAATGCGCCATTTGGCATTACTACAATCTCACCAGCTAGGTAAAGATAAGTATAAAAAGCCGGGTGCAACTGAGGCCCCTTATTTTCGGTAATAGCACAGCACCGAAAATACAATTAAATCAGATCGTCTTTAAAGAATTTATTTATGCATTGGGTAAGGCACATAGAATGCAGGGTTCTGGACTGGTTGCGCTTACAGTGTTGCTGTAACTTGAGAGATCATGTATCAGCTCTGTCGAGTCGTAACAATCTGCCGCGCCTTAGTTGCCTTGCAAGCTAGCACGCATTAATTTTTTTTTTTTTTTAAAGCCCTTAGGTTAAAAAAACGGAGCGTGGAACGTATCATTTCAGTGGAGGATGAGGCCATGCGACGATTTGTGTGTGCGCGTTCCCGGACATACTTTTGCGCTTTAGTGGATCAGATTGCCATGCAGTCCATTGAAATCGATCATTTTGCTCGATCGGCTGAAAACGAATCGAGTAATCGTGAACGGCTTGATGTTATGATTGATGATTACCTTGATTATATACATTACCTCAACGATGTTCTACTTATTAAGGTTTTACTTTATTTGCTCTAAACACTGATTTCTGCGAAAAGACGTTTGCTTATTTTTAAGTCATTCATTGGCTTTATTATTCCTGGTCGGTAAGGTAACCTCTTAGTTGGTCAGGAGCTGCGTCTTTCGCGTTTAGATAGTGATACTCGAAAGAACATCTCAAATTTTTATAGCCTTTTGTCCATCCCTTCAGAAGAAGAAGCGAATGTAAAGATTACTAGCTGGCTGCATTGCCTCCATATTATGCAGCATTAATCAAAACAGCTGGAAAAATTTGCTTACTGTATTGTTAGGAGAATCGGATTACGATTCGCGGCTATTCCATTTATTCCATGTAATTGCTGGAATCTAAACCAAACATTGTGTTGGCACTGAAATGCAAGCTGAAATCGTTGTTATGCTCAAACGTTTCAGGATGAGCAGTTATCTGCTATGTTTATTGAAGTGATTTTTGAACGATTGCTTGCACCATTATATCTGGCATCGCTTGGCGGTCTAAGGGTTCGACAGACTGCTGCCGTTTTAACTCCAGTATCCGCACTTTTCTTCCTTACGCAATTTCTGTTAATCGTTGACGATTTCCAGGTTTGTCATAAAATCTTTGTTCTGATGAAAACACTGGTTCATCGAATTATTGGATTTTAACATTGAGCTCTTTGTTGCCAGACTTATCCTTCTGAAATTTACGTACACCATCAGCAGAGACATTCTTTCCTAGTTTTATAGTTGTGATTTTCACATAAAAAATGAACACTATTTCTTTCACAGAACTGTCAACGTCTTTTGGTATAATCCCTTCCCCAATTTCCCTATAAAAATTGTAATATTTTATCGTTATTGCTACTAATGCGTCCAACTCTTTTCAATTAATAGTAGGGAGATATTGCTGTTGATTGTTTGTAGGTTGTTCTAACTTTTTCTGGCGCGCACTCATTTGTTCTGTTTGCATCTCGACCTGTGAAAACAGTGCATTTCTTCCCAGTACCACAACTGGACCTTGTCTATACGATAGTTATAGTTTGATTAAAAATATATGAGAGGAAAAGTGAAATACTAATATAAAGAAAAAAGCGAAATGAAAAGAAATAACTGAAATCCAGTGAAGGTGAAGGACTTTTAAGAATTTTCACCTTCGTCATTTTCGCTGATAAATCGATCATTATTGTGACTATCGCAATTAGAAACCTGCTAATATTAACGGGAATTAAACATTACAAATATAAACATATGTATTGAGTGCGTATCAGAACGCACTTCTTGGTTCTGTAGGTTCCATATCTTTTCCCTTTTTTATGCGTTTTGTGCTTGTCACGGAGTTGTCTGTGTGTGTGGTCGTACTCTGAGAAGGGACATCATCCTAAAATTTCAGATTTCCAATTTCCGTGGTCCCCGAGATAATAATTCTCCCGGCCAAGATTTTCATGAGGTTGTACTTGTTAGCCGCGTGCAGGGGATGGCTGAACTTAAATTTTCTGGGTTGTAGTGGACAGGGGATATACCAATAAATGTGCGTGTATGTATGTGTGTGTGTGTCCGATGCATGTTGTCCGCAACTTTCAACTCGCAAACAACAAAGCTAGGGAAGCTGAAAGCTTGAGGGATTGTCCCTCGCCCATGTTTAACCCTGCAAATTTATGTTCAGTTTTCCGTGCTGGCGAGTCACACGGACGGCCCTGTAAAAGTTTTTGCGGAGAAAATTATTTCAGGAACCACGGAAGCTATGAAGCTGAAATTTTACGACTATATCCCCTGTCGACTACAATCCAGAAAATTTAAATTCAGCCGTCCCTCTGCGCGCGGGACACAAGTATGATCTCATGAAAATTTTGGCGGGCGAATTATTATCTTGGGAATCACAGAAATTGGGAATCTGAAATTTTAGAATGATGTCCCTAACCAGCGTGTGACCTCCCAAATTTGGAATCATCCCTCACGCATCCCTGGGTGCTAAGAGGTTGAAAATTTCAGGAAGGTGTTTCTTGCCTAACTAGAGGCTTCACAAACTCGAATTCAGTTCCTGAGTGTGCCGAGTTTTCACGTATGACCACGTGAAAGTTTGTTACAAAAATTACTCGAGAGCCAGAAAATTAAGTGATTGAAATTTTGGAACGATGTTGACTGCTCGAGGATTCAAGTTCAGCTTTCGCTTATCACTGCATAAAATTTTCAGTGGGAAGTTCCGTAGCTTAGGAACCAGAGCAATATTTCAACTATTTTTACACAGACTAAAGTGCAAAGCAGGGAAAATCCTTAATAGGCAAACGTTCGCTGGACGACACTGCGCAAAACGCATGGTCAATCCAGCTACCCTGGTGCATATCGCTATTTGTTTAAAGTTGTTTCTCACCTCAAATTTCTAGGCGGTGCAGACACTTTTGTCTTCGTTTTTCTTCGGTGATAACTCGGATGTGCAGTATCAGTGGATGCGAAGCCAAACAACGACTTGGGTACTTGGAAGTGCTAAACCAAAAAGCACTGAATTACGGTATGTTTTTTCCAAGTCTTTTTTAATTTCTAGTGTAACGGAAGGTTTTGTCGGTATGCTAAGCATGCATGGGACTCTTTTGAAAAGATTTTCCTCAATATGAAGAGTAAATGTAAGAAATGTCTTTTTCCAAGAAGGTCTGCGGAAAGAATGTATCGATTGAGTACAAATTTTTGACTGTCAATGTTGCTAACTGCTTTTTAGGGCATTTTTCAACGGGTATCTGAATTCATTGGTTTGTTCGAGGAATGATCATTCTGCGTTTTTTGGACTTATTTTTATCTATGCATTCTGCCAGAACAAAGGTATAAATTTGTGACAGACCATTGGATAAGCGTTATGTCGTATCTCATACATATGTGTTTTCCTTTGATCCTTAAGAAAATCTGTTCTTTCGTATTTTTATCAGCTAAAATAATTCTCTAACTGCTAATTTACAGGAGCGAGAGGAGAAATTCTGGAAGCTGTACAATTCACATCAGATGCCCTTGGTTCTTCCGAACATAATTTCTTGAGTTTTTTGCTGGATGTCATAACAAAATGCGCTGAAAAAGGTGAGCTGATAGCCTTTTTCCCAAGTACTGTTTTGACATTCTAATTAATTACGGATTTGCAATTAATGGTAATTCTCGCCATTAACATAGTTCATAGCCTTCCCGCTGAGTTATTTAAAACATATTATTTGCCAATGATTTTGTTATTCCCGTTTTCGTGTTCCCCACGGAGAAAAGTGATTTAGATAACTTCTCCTGCCGCTCTTTTAGCTCACTTAATGTGAGAATTTCGTGTGTTCATTTAGAACCAGCCCTAATTTATAATTGAGATTGAGTTAGAGATTGATCGAACTATTTCTCAGTGATTAGTTAAATTCTTAAAATATTTTTTAGTGAGATATTTTTGAAATTTTAGAAGCATTTATTCGTACAATAACTGTCGAGCTGTGTTGCGTTGTGATCAGACAGTTGTTGCTGGCGATGGATGCTTCTGTGGAAACGCAGATGGAATGCAAACGGCGAGCAGATAAAGCTAAAGCAGATATTGTTGCTGCACTTACACCATCTGTTCATTCTGAAGAATTATTCCTGGAAATGTTCGAAGATGAATTTTATAATTTCGAGGTTCCTACTCCTCCTAGCTCTGTTTTCATTTCCGGGGATTTTCAGGTATTTCTTCCCGCACTTCAGTTTTATTTTTCACTTTTTTTAATTTTCGATTTTTTTTGCGAAACTTCTCTTCAGAGAAGCAAAATTCGAGTTGGAAATATGAGTGTGGATTCCGCGCTTTTGCTTCCTCCGCCAAGTACTCCAATGAGTGGAGTTCCGCTCAACAAGCGCCTCCCATCCGGCAACGAAGAACGCATTCGAAGGGTTTGTGCTTTTAACGTCTCATGTGTATTGTGAATGACTGCTTTTGTTTCGTATTCTATGCTCGTTACACAGAGAACTTAAATAACTGGATATGTAGTTTTGGCAACTACTGATTTTTTCCGGTTATTTAGGCAAAGATATATGAGGCGCCCTTTATCTCAAGCATCTCATAGTGTTAATAATAAATCAAAATTTCTTGTGCATTCATCACCCACGATTAGAATTAGGGGCAGTGAGAACAAGCTGAGTGGTAATACTTGAAAAAAACAATTCTAGGCTTCCTAGGCTTCCTACTGGCTCCCTCTTTTGAGGTAGTATATCAGCAAGCTGATAGCGGTTTTGGCTCTTTGGCAGGTGCCAGTACCTATTTACTGTTGGAACCAATAAACAAACCGTAAAGAGACTGATTATTTCACTAACGGAATGAACCCGTGATTTTCGACACAAAGCGTTACTCGTCACTACGCCATGCTCACCAGTGTTGGCATCCAAATTCCAGATTTTGCGGAATCCTTATAAATAATTGAATGAGTGCAGTTTTTTATAGAGCTGTGAAAATTTAAAGGCCAGACTTGAATTTTATGCCAAAAAGTTTTGGATGGTTTTTTTCATAAATGTAAGCCAGCAGTAGTAGTAGATAACTTTTCCGAAGCGTGTCATACTTCCTCGCTTTTCTGTTATCTGTCGTTGTGAGGACCGTAATACATTTGAAAATTGGATAATCGTTTTTAGTTTGCTTGAAACTAGTACGTCTTCAACTGGCAGAAAGGCGCAAAAGTCTTAAAACAAGTACCATTTTCTGGGGCATAATTTGGGCACAAATTCTCTACAGTTCTGTTTTCAGGGCATACAGCTGTTTTTTCATTTGAGACGATTTGCGCTTGATCTAGGCGGTGAAGAGGAGCCCGATCTGCATGCTCCACTAAAAGCCGATGTTATCGTTGAAGTAAACGACTGCATCAATCTGGGTTATTTTCATTCGCTTTTGTTTACCTCATATTTTATAAACCTCCTGGTAAAAATGACTTCTTATATGTAGCTGGACATGTTGAGCATTTTAACTGAACTGTAACTTTTTCCACCTTAGAACATCTTATGAAAGATTTATATCTTTTATCGTGCAACAAAAAAAAAAGTAAATAGAAATTCATCCAGCTTATAGACGATGACAGAACACAGTAGATCACTATTGCATTGGATGATGTGAGCTTTTTAAAAACACTTCTGGGCAGTTTCTGTGTTTCATATCATCGAAATTAGTGTCACCATTACCTGTAGGTTCTGCTAATGTCCAAATAACTGGTTTCGTTGACATGACAGCGGGTAAATTAACTTTGGAAAGCCTAAAATAATGGGATTTCAACTCACTGGAATATCAATTGCATATTAGTAGTGTTTTATTGCTGTGAATTTCCAAAAGCACTGACTTAGTCAAAACTTATTTCTCAGTCACTCTCTGTGAAAGCCGGAGGCATTTAGAAATAGCTAGTGTGATAGCACAAGCCAACAGCAGCTACCCATTTGGCAACATTGCCGATTATTCGTCTTCCAAAAGTTGCTTACAACCACTCTGATGGTAATTGCGGTTCGTTGATATGCATCACTACGAGTTTATAGTTAATAAACGGGCCGCGGAGGGATTGGTTGCCGCACTGGTGGAGTCATATTTTGTAGTTGATTGTCTTGTTTTTTCTTATTTCAAGTGGTAGTTTTGCAGAGAATAGTGATTTACTGGCGTGTACAGTGGTTATGAATAATCGAGGCGAAAGAGTTCATCGATTCCTTGTAACAGACCAAGCGCAACTGATACTGGTTGAGCCGGATAACAAGCGAATGGGATGGGCTGTTGTTCGTTTTGTTGGTCTTCTACAAGTAACTTTTTCATTACTTTTCAAATATTTTCTTTTTAAATATGTCCATCAGTTACTTTTAAATTTCTTTTGGTGCGATGTTTAAGGATACGCAAGTAACGGGTGATTTGGGTGACAGTCGTGCCCTTCATATAATTGTTAACAACGTTGGCAGCCGTTCTTCACGAGCAAATAATGCTTTGTGTTTCAATGCTAAACTGATATTTGATGATCACATAAGATGTATGGCTGCGAAGCAACGCCTTACAAAGGTTCGTGAAAAATATCATTTATTGTAAAATCTGTCATTTTTTGTTTGATAGCTTAAAGCATTCAGAAATGCAACGAGAAATTAATATGGAAGTTATAACTCAGTGTGGAAGGCCTGTAATTTATTGTAGTGCACCCAAGCTCTAGTTGCAATCATACCAGGCTGTTCGATCTCGAGCTGCATATTTCCAGTTAGTACCTGCCTCTACCGTTTCGGGGGAG